GCGTCAGGCTCTGGGCTGATGGCTCAGAGCCTGGAGCCTGTTTCCAATTCTGTGTCTCCCTCCCCCGTTCATGCTCTGTCTCTCTCTGTCCCAAAAATAAATAAACGTTGGAAAAAAAAAATTTTTTTTAATAAAATAAATGCCTCTTGGAGTTCCTGGGTGGCTCTGTGGGTTGCGCACCTGACTCTTCGTTTCAGCTAAGGTCACGATCCCAGGGTCATGGGATCCAGGCAGTGTTGGGCTCCACGCTAAGCGTGGAGCCTGCTTAAGATTCTCTTTCTCTCTCCCTCCCTCTGCTCCCTTCCCCTACTTACTCTCTCTCTCTCTCTCTCTAAAAATTTTTTTTAAAAATGCACCTTGTTCATAATTGCCAACAGCTCACTAAGCACAAGACGCAATCGACGAGGTGAATCACTGTGTTCAAACTCTAATGTCAGTCCATGCTGAAGCTGTGATACCAGGATGCTCTCTCCACTGCCTCCTCCAAGTTTATGCCTAATAAAGCACAAATGTGTACAACAATTATGAGAACACTGGCACAAAAATAGCATAAAATTATCTGTTGTTGAAATAATCTACAAAAGAATGTATGAATTATTTTCATACATTTCATGAAAATAATACTTCTGAAATACTATTTAGTTTGCCTATTTCAGGGATTCACAACCTATATAAAGACACCAGCTAATAGTTAACACCCACTTACATGAACAGTTGCTCACTCTTGGATTCACAATAAGCAGGGAAGGACCAAACAACTGCCCAGAATTTGGGGAAATCAATATAAGCTTAAAAAGCCTCCCAGTAAATACTTCTACTTTTAGGGGAACTTACCCTACCCACTTCCCGCTGAGACCAACTGGCGTATTCAGTTTAGCATGTATACAACAATATGTGTAGCCAAAATTCTCTACACATTTTAGAATATGGAATTCTAGAATTTTAACTATAAATAGAAAAGAACTAAGTAAAATGCTCTCCAAAGTTTAGATTCTCAATCTTTTCTGGGGGAGTGCATCCAATAAAAAGTCCTAAAATCTCCAAAAAATATTTGACTTCCTCTTCTTTAACAAATCCGAGTAAATCCCAGTCCACATATTATATAACACAACATTACCTAAGCTGCTGTTCTTTGCTGGCATCCTGTTCTAAAGCATGAAAGTCCACTGACAACAATGCAACAATAGAGTTGACAGCTTCCACTCCAGAGAGAAGACGAAGGATGAGTTTTTTATCTTGAGCCCAGCTCTGGCTCTGGTCAGCAGGAGCACAAAGTGCCATTCGCACCAAGCAGGGCAGAAGAAGTCTCAATTCTGGATCACTTAAAGATGCCAACCGAACAACATCCACTTTCTGCATTGCCTCAAAAGCAAAAGGGCTGACAAACTGAAGGCTTGTACACTCAGCCATTATCACTGTTGATCCTAATGGTAAAAAACAACAACAACAACAACAACAAAAACGAAAGTAGGTGTATAACTCCTACATGTATGAATGCCCCTCTTTTTAAAAACCCTAAGAAGTGTGGTCTATCTTTAATATGCCTCTATGTTGGCTATGTTTCAGGCACATGTGAAGTCTCCCTATGTTTTTACTCCCACCTAGAAAATGAAAAAGCAGAGTTTATTAACATTTCCTCCAGCCCTCGGGATCTTCTAATACTTATTTTGCAAAGAAGAAATATGAAGCCCAGAGAGATTAGGTAACAGACATATAATGATTACTACTAGTAGCAAAATCCTAGGCTGAACCCTCATCTATTAAATCGCAGTCCAAGACTTTCTCCACTGCATCAATCATCTGAGCACCGCAATGCAAATAAAAGTAGTATAGTTAAGAATGTGTTCCTCGTCCATATCTAACTTCTTATGCCTATCCAACAAATGTAAAAAACTTACTCTTCTCTTTCCCACCCTCCACCAGTCAATAAATGCACTGCTAAATCTCCTCACTAGGCAGAAGCAATGCCAGACTCAACGTCCTCAAGGCCGTAACACTATCCTAATGTCCCCTGGGTTGCATGGTAAAAAATTGCTGTGGAGCTACAATTAGCTATGGGAGAAGGATGAGTTCCACTTGAGCACTTCTCTTATCTCCACTAATCAGAAGCTTAAAAAAAAAAAAAAAAAAAAGGCAGGGAGCAGGTGGCCAAAGCCATCCCCTCCAATCCATCACACTAGCAAAATCATGGGTTAACAGAGTCGTGGGCAGAAACGCTACTTTGTTTTTAAACAAGAGGAGCTGGCCTTTTAACACAGGGCGGGCTGAGGGAGCACCGGTGTGTGTTCACAGGTCTCGCCCTCAGCGTAACGAGAACCAACCAGTCCCCCTGGCAGAGAAATGTAAGGCCAGTGACCGACGTGGACCGGAGAACGAGCTGAGGCCTGAGAAACGGAAGCTTCATACCTCAAGATTTACCTTCCAACCTCCCGGGACTCAACACCGATTCCGCGCCCTAGAGGCGGGACACGGTAGAAATCGAGAGCGCGGCCCAAAGTTGGGCCTAGGCGAAAATCCGCATTCGCCAAACCCAGCTGTGCCCTGAATCGACACAGGCACCAAAAACCCAGACGCCGGGACCAATGGGGTCGGCAGTGCGATAGGGCTGGATGGGGACACCGCACAAAGGCAGAAACCGCACTGAAGGGAGGGGAAAGCGGAGGGGACTGTTTCAACCTGCACCCAGCACCTTCATTCATCCCCAGCGTCTGGCTCCCGTCGGCCACCGTACTGGACTGAGAGGAAGGCTGTCTGCAAAGGAAACCCAGAGACGTCCGCGCTGATGCAACGGTGCGCGTGCGCGGTCCCACCTCTTCCTTCCCGTCCCCTTAACTGCATTCCCGAAGGTTTAAAATGCTGCTTTCGGTTTCTTCTTCCAAAATCTATCACTTTTATCCTTTCCGATTAAATCTTTAAGCCCCTCTGACCTGCAGTTTCATCTTCACAGGATTTTTGTGGCACTTGAATGACATAACGTATGTAAAAGAAACGTTAAAGTTGTTTCCACCATCCTTTGACCGGAATACTAATGACTGCACCCTTCTTTCTGTCCCTGCCTATGCCTCCCTAGCGCTTAAGCTCTGGAATCGAAAGATTTATAGGCGAATTTAAAAATTAATCTTTTCCTGATCTTTCGCTCTTGAGCTCATACCCTCATAGTCACAAGTTAAACATCTTAGTTTCGGGTTTCTATGCCTTCGGGTCCGGGGTTGGGGGATGGGCAAAATGGGTGAAGGGAAGTGGGAGGTACAGGCTTTTAGTTATGGAATGAATAACTAACTCCCTTACAACATAGAGGTTATAGTCAATGGTATTGTAATAGATGGTAGCTACACTTATGGTGAGCCTAGAGTATAACATAGAGTTGTCCAATCACTATAGTGTACACCTGAAACCAGTGTACCATTGTGTGTCAACTATACTTCGATTTAAACCAGAACAAAAAACTTAAGGTCCATAGACCTTTAGAAAGTGGTGGATAGGGTTTCAGGAATTCCCTGGAATCTGCAAAATTGTGTGTGTTTGGCACTTCTGGAAAGAGGACCCAAAACTTCCAACAAATTTTCAAATGGAGTCTAAGCAGAAAAGATTAAAAACTAGTCTCTGTATATTTTCATACTATTTCTAGTTCCTGATTTAAGTAATGTGCATGTATCACCTGCTTACCAAATACTGTGCTACAAGCTGGGAGCAAAAATATTTTACAGAGAGAAATACAGCCTCATACTATATAGTTTCCAAGGCTTTCACAGAGTACTAATCTCCTAATAAAGTCTGCTTTCAGACTTTCTCTTCTTTCAACAAAGGAAGAAGAGAACTAATGTGTGTTTCATTGTTTCTCAAACTTATATCCACCTGACCTACAGTTTCACATTGTGACCCAGGACACACATGCTCATATATGCCCACATTTAAATGGAACAAAGTTTTTATGAAATAACACATACTACATATTATATGTTCTATTTCGCTTCTTTAACTTACTGGTCACAGGGCACCTGACTGGCTCAGTTGGTGGAGCATATGACTCTTGATCTCGGGTTTGTTAGGTTCAAGTCCTACATTGGGTGTAGAGATTACTTAAAAAGAAAATCATTAAAAAAATTTTTAATTGCTGGTCACTACACACTAAAATTGATTTCACAGTCTATTCGGTCACAAATTGTACAACATTGTCATTTTTAAGCTGATATTTATTGAACACTTGCTAGGCACTAGTATTTTATATGTTATCTGATTTAATTATCTGAGGTAGGGAATAGTCTCTGTTTTATAATTGTGGGGAAATTGAGACTGAGACAGAGGTTAAACAATTTAATCTCCCTGGATGGTCTTTTCACAGGAGGAATATGAAGAGAATTCATGGTTTGGGGGATCAATAATGGGAGAAAGGGGATGTGAACTAAGTGATTTTTAAGATCTCTTCCAACTCTAGGTGTGCCTGGGTGGCTCAGTCAGGTAAGTGACTTTGGTTCAGGTCATGATCTCTCAGTTCATGAGGTCGAGTTCGAGTCCTGCATCAGGCTCTGTGCTGACAGCTCAGAGCCTGGAACCTGCTTTAGATTCTGTGTCTCCCAATCTTTACAGTCTCCCTCTCTCTTTGTCCCTCCCCTTCTAGTGCTCTGTTTCTAAAATAATTAAAAAAAAAAATTTCTTCCAGCTCTACTTACAATCCTGTAATCACTAATGAAGAAACAACTTACAGATCCGTCTCAATCTAACAGCAGATCACACCCAGCTCAAATAAGATAGCTAGCGTGTAATGGTAATGAATGCTGACACTTACCTTCTTCCAAGTCCCCTTCTCCTTGTCTTCCAATTCTTAGCTCAGTGAATATCACCACTACCCAGAATTGTCCAAGCCAGAAACCTGGAAGTTACCCTAGGCTCTCGCCTGTTCCACTCATATCCACTTAGTCAAAGTCTTTGAGATCTACATTGTTCACCAGTGAAATCATTTTGACAGCCATACAGAACTCAGTGAAAAAAGATTTACTGATGGACTTTTGAGTTTTAAATCTGCTTTTTCTGAGGTGGTTTCTCTATACTAAAATCAACTTTTAAAGACTTTGCAGCTCAGATGCTTAATTAGATTAAGAACTTATAGAAAAGTAAATAATGCTACAAATTAGCCCTAACATTTAGTTGCCTATAAACCACAAAACCTTTGATTACTAAAGGGGCATATTAATGTAATTATGGTGTACACTTTGCGTTTGAGAAAGAAATGTTTGAGAAAATAATCCCCCTTTAAGACCAATGTGGCACTGAGGCTCATTACCATTTTACTCACAAAGATATTTTTTTAAAAAAGATTTTATTTTTTAAACTAATCTCCACATGCAATATGGAGCTCAAACTTACCACCCCGAATTCAAGTGTTGCATGCTCCACCAACTGAGTCAGTGAGGTGTCCCACATAAAGACATATTTCATCAACTCTATGGTGACTTTTTCACATTTTAACATCTCTGATATTGTGGTGTCTTAAGATCAGTAATGATCTTTTAAATTTTTTAGTGGTACATATAATGGTGTCTTACAATTACTGGTGTTTAGATTTGATGAAACACGTTGCGTAATTCCTATACTTAAGTTAAAAAATAACACTCCTTCCTAAGTGAAGTAAACATTCTCTTCTGACTGGCTTACTATGATTTATCCTTTTCTACTTAACTATTTTTCAGTAAGACTGAGGGAAGAAAAGGAGAAACAAACGGAAAGAAAAAACAATACTATGTTTCAGGCACACTAGGTGCTTTTATGTAGATTATTGCCAAGTAAATGAGCTTCAAGAAATTAGAAGACCTAGGTATTTAAAGGAAGACCAATATTCTTTAGAAATTGACTCATAGAATTTTGGAAGTACAAGGATCCCAGGAGCCATCTAACTCAAATGTTCTCAATATGGAACTCTTTTTATAATTATCCTCAACAGTGTCCTATTTTATCTTGAAATCCCAAAATTTCTTCCATTGTTTCACCCTGTCAAGATCTTCTGGACTCTTCTTTTACACTGGCTATCTGCAAAGCAGATCATCTCTTCATTTAATTTTATGGGTAAAATATTGAATGGAATTGGGTCCAGCCAAGATTCTATAGTATGTTAGAGACATCCCTTCAGGTTGATACAGCTCCATCAACAAGCCTTTTTTGGTATGATTGTTCAATTAATTATGAATCATCCCAACTGTTGAAACACTTCCCTGCTTTGGGATAAAGTTCATTTTCCTTAAGGTGGCACTCAAAAGACAGTTTTTCACAGTCTGAATTCTTAGCTCTGGTTTGGATTCCTGCATTATCTATCCCACCATAGTGCCTCTGTTTTAGTCTGTTGGAACTGCTGTTTCCCAAATCCTTCATGCTATTCGTGGACCTTCTCTCCCACTGTTCCTTTGGTCTGAAATTCCTTTATTCTCTTTATGTAGTACCTCCTATGTATCCTTTAAGTCTCACTTCCAGTGTTCCCTTGCTAAGAAATCTTTCCCAGACAAACCACCTATCTCTTAAAGTATCCCTCTTCAATATTCTCAAGGCTCCCTTTACTTCGTTCCATCATAGCACGTCACATATTGTACTACATTGTTAAAATTTGTTTCTCCTACCTTTCCAAAGTAAGTACTTGGAGGGCAGGAACTAAAGTATGGTACTTAATACTGGTTTGTTGAATTAATGATTTAAGTGTAACAATACCAGGAAACCTTATTAAATAACCTGAATATCCATTTCCATGATCTGTTTATTAATGCTGTCAAAATAAAATGTAGATTGATTTCAGCTATTCCTTCTTGTATATGCACTACATTGTTGTTCTTATCACTCTAGAGGGCTTATGGAACTAATTATGTATACACATGTATGTTTCTCAGCAGATTGATGGCTAAAAGTCAAAGGTGTGTATCTCATGACTAGTGTATAGTAAACAGTCTATTAAATAGTGCTTTAGTGGAACTATGCTGGTTTCTAATGAACTTGTTCATAAAGTGAAATAAATTATTAGTTTCTAGGACATAACTTTTTTTTTTTTAATTTTTTTTTCAACGTTTATTTATTTTTGGGATAGAGAGAGACAGAGCATGAACGGGGGAGGGGCAGAGAGAGAGGGAGACACAGAATGGGAAACAGGCTCCAGGCTCTGAGCCATCAGCCCAGAGCCTGACGCGGGGCTCGAACTCACGGACCGCGAGATCGTGACCTGGCTGAAGTCGGACGCTTAACCGACTGCGCCACCCAGGCGCCCCTAGGACATAACTTTTGAGAGAGAAAGAGAGAGAGAGAATGGGTAGGGCAGGGGCAGAGAGAGAATCCCAAGCAGGCTCCTTGCTGTCCAGCACAGCCCAGATTGGGGCTTGAACTCGCTAACCCTGAGATCATGACCTGAGCTGAAAGCAAGAGACAGACACTGAGCTTCCAAGGCACCCCATCTTTTTAAAAATTTAAAAACTGAGCAAGTTGTGCATTTTCACTATTCTGGAACCTTTCAGTTTTCCACAGCATTTCTGAAACCGTATCTACAAGTTCTTTTAGTACCGAGGATATATTTCCTTTGGACCTGACACCTTTAAATGCTTTAAATCCGTTAAGTATCTCAGATTTTATTTCATCATATGTGTGTTACTTTACGTTTTAGAGCTTAAAGACCCTTCAAGCTGATTTCTTTTTAGTCAGAGTAGGTTAGGACAGAAGGGAGATAAA